CAAAAATGAAAATAAGAGAAACAATCTCCAATGATCATGGCCTTGACATATATTGTCAAGCTCATGATCCTGAACAACATTCAAAAGGTTTCAGCCATTGTTCGGATACCTTAGATAATGCTAATGCCGGTGGTACTGTAACTTTCTTTATAACTCGAGATTTATTTAACCAAAAAACATTTTACCTATATGTTTTGGAAAGCTCTCAAAATAAGCTACAAAAATAAGCAACGAAAAATGGGGAGTTTCATTTAAAAAATTCAAAGCGACCTTGTCCTGACCTTGACAACGCCACTCAGGGTCAAACCAATGTTATCATCTTATGTCCCCCTCGAAACCCTACAACTTTTATCTGAAACATTTTTTCTCAAACCTCGCATTTCCAAATATTTGACTGTTAAATATAAAATGAGACACCCTGTATATATAAAGTGAGGGATAAAAGTTCCGGAACGGCTAATTATTTTGGAAAGTATTGGTTTAATGTTTCAAACAAAAGTTGTAAAGCTAAAAAATCTATTAGTTGGTCATTTTTGTTTGACCTTTGGATAACCTTGAGAAGCGTGATCAAAGTTAACATATAAATCTTAAATGGAAACCCTTATTTTTTTATTGCACATTCTTGTAGCTGACGTCAAGAACTTTTCAAAACACTATGATAAAGTTATTTTTCATCAAGTACCTTTTGAGTTATAAGATTTGAAAATTATAATACCGCTGACATTTGGAATAAAAAAATGTTACGGGAACAACAAACTCTGAGGTTAACTCCTTATTTTTGCTGTGATATATCCACACACATTCATGTACAAAGTGTGAATTTGACTAGATAATCTTCATGTGATACACCTTGGATAATGCTAATATCAGCGATATTGTGGCTGCGTTCCATTTTAACACTTATACGCTGTGAGTATGATTTATTCTTGTTCAACATTTGATAAACAACAAGGATAAAATGATTCCGTGAATGTTGTAAGTGTCAAAAGCATGATTACAGAACGCAAAGTTACAGGTTGTAACTTTCAAATCTTATAATTCAAAAAGTACGTAATGAAAAAACTTTATCATCGTGTTTTGAAAAGCTCTTGTCAGCTACAAGAATTGTGTACCGAAAAATAGGGATTTTTATTTAAAATTTTTATGTTGATCTTAACCGCGCTTTTCAAGGTTTGTCTAACCTCAAATAAATATCACCAGCTAATAGATTTTCTCAAAATACCATTGGCCCTTTTCAGGGCCAATAAAACAAATTCAAACATATACACACATATACACCTACACACACATTTTAAATATATAAAACACACTTGTACATAAAACACACATAAAATCGCTTGTAAATAATACGAATAAATTAGCTATTGAATCTCTACACGGAGTGTAAAATTCTATTAATAAGAACCATCACTGCGTCGAAAATTCATATTCTCCAAGAACACGCGTGGAGGAATTGCGTATCAATCTCTGCGAAATCACGAAGTGAACTGCGACATTAAAAATACTAATCGAGAAGACACGCAGCGTTGAGCCGGAGCAACTCGCTTTTCACTCATATCGCAGGATTACGCTCAAGCGTCTCCATAATAAGATATTTACGTTATAAGTACCTTATAATACTTTGAAAAATTTATTGTGAAAAATACCAGCTAAATTGTGTTTCAAGATCGAAAATTTAATTGGCGTGTATTTTGTAGAATTGGATATGTTTCATACATGTCCAATAAATTCACTTTGAAATATTAAGCACGAAGCTAGAAGCGCTTAACTCATATCGAAAACGTTTTCCTTTTTTTAGTTGTATTTTTGTATATCGGTTTAGTATCATTGTTATATTGCTTTTAGTAATATTAAAACAAAAAATTGCATCTTAAATTATTAAGACTGATCTTGTTTCAGCATTAAAAAAGTAACGGAAAAGTAACGAATCGTTACTTTTTAAGGAACGATAATAATAACAAATTATTTTTAAAAATCAGTAACTATTAACGATAACTAGTTACTTTTTTAACTCGGTAACGAATAACGATAACTACAGTTACTTTTAAAAAGTAACTTTCCATTCTCTGCTTTCTAAAATAGTTATCCGTTCCGGAACTTTTGCCCCTCAATATATATAACGACATGTATAACTCCAAACAGAGAGTTAATTAAAATCAAGTGCAGATAATTAATGATTAATGATAATTAAATTATTTTTTTGAAATTTTGTTCTTTATATTGAATCCAGTATCCTGAATTTTTTATTTTTGATCTGAAGTTCAAATAATGCATTACTAAATTGTCGAGTTATAAAAATCTAGTAATTTTCAAAATAATATTCAGTCGGAGTCGTCAGTTCACAAAGAATTAAAATTAAGATTACATATTGTAAAACACTTTATACAGTACTTTTTTGGTATTGTGTATTCTGGGCCAATATCCACAAATGAGTAGTTCAGATTTGTGATTATATCTGGGTTGAAAAAGTCCTTCAGAATAGTAATAAGACATCTTCTATCTCTTTCATCTGTTACTCTACCTCCATAGTTGCATTCGCCAATAAGATATGTGATAGCATCAAATGGTATTTGTTCGTAATTTTGGACAAACAATTCAAACTGTTGAATAGATATTTGCAAATCAGATTCGTTGAAATCTAGGAAAACAATTTGTGTGAGGAAATGCAAAATTAGTCTTACAATAATATATCAACTTTCTATTAATCCACATTACCGAATTACTAACCATATCTAATATTCCAGCCTTGGGGACCGTAGTTTCGTCGTTCTTGAATTACTGCATGGAAAAAGCATAGAGCATATACTAATCTGGAGTATGTCCTTTTTTTAGTCGGGTCTTTTTCTAGAAATTCCACTTCCTTCATGCCTTCAGCTAAATAAGATCTAACAATAAGTAGCAAAAATATATATTATTTATAATTAACGCCACAATGACTTTTTATTTAGTAGAAGTAGATAATTGTATTATAGATTAAAAAATTGTTTCAAAAAAATTTCGTTATAATCAGAATTTGACACTTCGCGTAATTTCCTTATTAGTTATTTAAATAAAGTAAAAATTTTACAATTTTCTCAAATTATCATAAATACTTTTCTGTAATTTATGGTAATTTGAGAAAACTGTATGGTTCATTGCAATAAATATACTATTGTAATTTTTATAAACGCGAAACTCAAAGCAGTTACCTCATAATGTTATTCTGCAAACCTATTGGTGGTTCTTTCGTCATTTTAACACTATTTTGCAATACACTAACAGGAAATTGATTTGATGGATAGCTAGTCAACCACAGACGAAAGTTGGACATAGTATTTGTATGATCGAGATTTTCACAAATTTTTTCTAAATTAGGCATCCAAGAAATCGCTAAATGACAGTTTTGCAAACAGACCCAGGATCCATCAGCTTGAGCCCGTTCAATCATTTTTTGTGCAATAGGACCTTGACCCTGACCTAAGGAGATCGATTCAAAACGATCAAGATAATTCATGCTTTCCACAAATTTAGTTAATGTAGCCATAGGGTCTGATCCAATGGATAGGATAAATATAAGAGGCATCAGGCAATTTGAATCAGCGTACGAATTAGAAATGTTAAAAGGAGGAGGTACCACAAAAGATAGACCCATTCCAGTTTCCACAAATCGGTGTATCTATTAAATAAATTGTTAGATAATATATTGTTTAACTTTAATAATTTTGTGGTTTTATTTTTTTAAATAAAACAATATAAACAAACAAAAATAACGATAATATGCGTTTTGCTATTTTTAGTATTTATAAAAACTATACTGCTATGCAGTATTTGTGATTATGCAAGCGTGATTTATTCATTAGAGATTCAAATTTTGACAATATATATTCATATGCATGAATTATATTTTATTTGAATAAAAAAAATTGATTTGAATATCATTCCATACTTTTTTTTATAATTAAAAATTATATTTAACTACAGAATGTCATGTAAAGACACAAACTCATTACAAATAAAAGTAAACATTACACATTACTAGAAAAAAAATTATATTTACAAATATTTTGTTCCTTTTTAAATTCTCTCTCATTGTTACGTCGCGATGGGAGCGAGAGCGGGTGGTTGGATCAACAGATTGAGAGACGATTTTCGGCACAAACAGAATTTATTACGATGATTACAAAAAAACATAAAAAGAAAAATTCACGATTTAGGCTCAATAAATTAAATTAAAACAATAGACAATCAAGGGCAAATGAGCCAAAGGCAAGTTATTGGTAGCCAAAAAACAATTATATTTAGATCGGATCCAGACGTTT